TACCCATTTGGACAGAAGACAGGTTGATCAAAGTGCTGTATAGATTTTTGTTGGAATATAAACTTGAGGAAAAACATGTCAAAGAAACTATGGTTGCCTGGGTGAAAAATTTTGGTTATAATGTGGAATTGGCTAAATGGGAAAAACTTTGAATACTTAATTGGAAACTAACAATCGCCACGGCATATAAAGAAAATCTGTATAAGATGTTCTAGAATGCATCTCCCTCCAGCATGGCTCTCCAAAATGTTTAAAAATTTGGCCCCAAATTGTTGAACGTGCAAAAAAACACCAGGTACTTTTTATCATATGTGCTGGACATGCAATGAGGCAAAAAGATACTGGAAAATGATTCAATCATGGTTGGAACAAATGGTGGGAGATCAAATGTTGTTCAAACCAGAAATTTTGCTCCTAGGCTTAATACAGGAGGGGTATGAGAAAAATGTACTTTATCTAATTATACATATACTAACTGTGGCATGTATAACTTACGCGCAGTATTGGAACAAAGAAAATACACCATCAGAGTTAGATATATTCAGGAAAATTTTGGCCTGTGCGGAAGCAGATAGGCTCACCCTTGAACTAAAAAATAAAGGGGAATCGGAATACTTTGAAGTCTGGAACAGATTTTATTATTGGTTTAAGACAAGGTGACAAGACTGGAACAAACTGTAAATAGTGTGATTGGATAGAAGGATAATGTATTAAGTAGTCTAATAGTTAATGGATGAGACTATTTGTATATAATGTGATTGTATGGTCACTTCAACTTCGTGGTACTGCACTTTTAAATGTAAAAACAATACAAATATATTTCAAAAAAAAATTCATCCAATTTTACTCATGTTGTTAACAAACCCCCTTTTATGTAGTTGGGTACAAATTATGTGAGGTTAAGATGAGGTTTGTGGGGGAAATTGACTTTAGCATAAAGCAAGGGGATCCTGCATTTCCAATTCCACTAGAGCTCCCAATCAGTAACCAACTGCTTCATGAAGAGCACAGTTTCATCCTGGTTGACTGTTGGAATTGATGCTCTTCAAATATCTGTCTTTGTTCCATTACTTGGTCTGGGAAAGATTTAATCTGAGTTTATTTTGCCCCTGGCAGCCTCCCCAAGTCTTGGTCCAGGGCAGCATTGAATAGCTTGAGTATCATCAACATAGTGATAGTATTTTGCTTTGAACTGGGGGAGGACTTCATGCATGCCTTTGTTTTGATGTTAAGATGGGAGACAGCAGGAGACCCCTATGATGCCGCACATTGGGGCAACCCAATAGGGTCCATTTTCGTGAGTGTAGAAAGAGTCCCACCTAAAAAGATCCAGCCTCACTCCCCACATTAGTTTTTGTCCAACTGGCATCCAGTCCAAACTATTTTGTCCACTAAGGAACTTACAGAATCCACATTCTGTATACAACATTGCCCACCTTTTCCTAAAAGGGTTTGGGTAACTGAATGGGGTGCAGTGTGGGAGTTTAGAAACAAGAAATCAAGAGAAGGATGGTTTGTGGCTCTTAACTGCCATTTGATTGAAGTTAATGGTGAGGCTAAGGCTTTATTTCTCCTGAGTTGCTGATTGTATCTTGCATTTTCCAGGTACTAAACAGCAAGAAATTGTTGTTTCCCGTGGGAAAATCTTGGAATTGCTTCGTCCTGATCCAAACACTGGAAAGGTTCATACCTTGTTGACGGTAGAGGTTTTTGGCATCATTCGCTCCCTCATGGCCTTTAGATTAACTGGTGGGACCAAGGACTACATTGTGGTGGGCAGTGACTCAGGCCGCATCGTCATCCTGGAATACCAGCCTTCTAAAAACATATTTGAGAAAATTCATCAGGAAACCTTTGGCAAGAGCGGCTGCCGCAGAATTGTTCCTGGACAGTACTTGGCTGTGGATCCTAAAGGGCGGGCTGTCATGATCAGTAAGTTGTATGCGAATGGCAGTTGGGGGAAATGGTTAAAGAAATCTATTACAAATACAAATGTTGGGTGATGCATGCCATTACTGTCTGGTGTCCATATCTGTATTATTGCATTTATGTTTGGCAATGATTTGACTCTGAGTTGCATGTTTTATGAATTTATGGTTTATGCTTTAGCATGTTGTCTGGCCTCAGCTGTAAAGCTAGTATTGTATGAAAATGGCCAGTAAGTGTTTTGATCAGAGGTTTTAATGTTTTTGCTTGTGGGGCTTGTTTGGATTTTTGAAAAAGTATTAAAAGTGCCATCATAAAATTTGGATAGTGCATGGTGGTTACAGCCTATCAGAATTCATGGATTTCGCAGAAAGACATATTTCCCAAAATAACTGAAAACAAGATCAAGACATAGCTGACTTATAGAATGCAAAGTCACAATTTTGACTCAAATGCCAGTGCTCACAAGGACATTTTTTATGGAATCAGTTAAAAAACCAGCAGTTTGGCCTGAAATGATGATTAGGAATTCATGTCTCTTCTCTGAAATAAGCTATGAAGATACTTGGATCCATTTCTGATCAGGTTCTTGTTATAATTACTTGTTGGCTTTTAAATACATCTTGGTGACAAAAACTAGATTCAGCTTGAAGGAAAGAGAGACGTACCAGTGGGTGACCTCAGGATTCTGCCCAGGGCACAGTGCTCTTCACCTTTCTATAAATGACTTTGATGAGGAACTAGAAGGGATGTTCAGCAGTTGTGTAATCCCCAAAGTTAGGTGGGAATTGAGCGCATCGCTGAAGACAAGTTCCAAGTTCAAAGGCCTTTTTTAGTGTTTCAACAAAATGAAGTCCAGTTGTGAGAAATGTAGAATTCTCCACAGATGGGAGAAGTCAGATGAGTAAGCAGTAATATGGTAGTACCTGGCTTGGCAGTAATATTCATGAGAAAAATCTTGGTTGCTGGTAGACCATAGGTTAAGAATAAACCTGCAATGTGTAGCAGCTATCAAAACAGCCAATGTAATCTTAGTCTCATTAATAGAATAATGTTGAGATTATGCAAGGTGATAGTTCAGCTGTTCAGGCCATACCTGTGGCATTGTCCAGTTTTGGTTGGCACAGTATAAGAAGAATGGTGAGGAACTGAAAAGAGGGCCAAGAGGCGGGGGCTAGAAACTGAAAAGAGGGCGAAGAGGTGGGGGCTAGATATTATAAAGCATGGTTAAAAATTTTTGGGTACATTTAGGTTAAAGAACAGGAAAGCTAAGAGGAGAGTTATTTGATCGATATAACTGATATAGATGTCTGCCTCTTTAACCTTAGCAACTCTGGGCAGCAAATGGAGTTTAAGGAGAAATCATATCATGAAACCATTATTACATCATTTAAAAATAACATCTGAGAATAAAAACAAGATCATAGCAACCTACTCAGTCTTCACTAACTTCATGTTCCTGGCGTCCACCTTAGGCAAACCATCAGGTTCAAGGCTTCTGGAAAGATCAGTAGGCATGGGGCCAATCCGAGCTCAGTAGTGTGGCAGAAAAAGCATGAAAGCCCCTTATACTTAGAAGTCTGCTGCGAGTCAGCATGGCTCAGGTAGGAAAGATGGAAGATGGAGAACCCAAGAAACCCTCATAATTTTCTGAGCTCCTGCATTCTGGCCCAGTTGCAGCTTCTGAATGCTCTTCAGGGGTAGCTCCATAGAGAGTGGATTGTGATAGTTCTGTGGGAATGAGCAGAGTGTGAGTGATCATAAGCAGCGCCTTCTGTCCCAGAAAAGGACACAATTAGTGCACTACATGAAGCAGAACCGAGTCCAGGAAGATCTCCAAATTCCTGCACCAGTTCAGTCTGTCATAGTGCAACTCCATAAAAGAGGGAATACCATTGGATGGGGGTGGGTTGGGGAATAGTGAAAAGCCACAGCCCCCTCAATATTGATCTGAAGCCCTGATCCATACCCCACAGCCTCCAGTCACCAGGCCAGATCCCTGTCTCAGCAGAGAGGTACACTTTCTAGCTACTAATACCTGGCCCCACTGGTCAGTGACCTCACCCAGGAATTTCATGTTGATAGGAGCAGGGAGAATGTAGAGCCCCATGGCAGCCCACAGACTTGGAGTTGCAGACCAAACTTTTCCCCTCTTCTCAATACCCGGAAGTGGCCTGGGAGGAAAGAGCAGGACCAGTGCAAATCTGTCTGGTCTTTGACCTCTTGTCTCAGGGAAGGTGTGGATTTATTCTCCACGGTGCCTGAGGATGGGACAAGAACCAGCCAGTGGAAGCCTCACAAAGAGACATTTGCTGACTGTCAGAGCTGTGAAGCGGTGGAACAGCAGCCTGCCTCCTAGAGTCATAGAAGACTCTGTCACTGCAGACTAAGGCTTAGTCCTATTGCTGTAACCTGGAAAAGCTGTGCTACGGTGGGGAAACAACCCTGGCTTCCTATAGGAACAGGCAGCTCATAAGCTTGAAAATCATTGTGTGCAGGTATGGCTGTTTCAGAACTAGATGATTTGTTTTTCAGGGGATTGTTCTAGAAAGATTAGAAGCTAAAAGGATAATACTGTTGGACAACACTGTTGCCCCGTGTTGCTTCCAGCATTCCAGGAGAAATAATGTATGTTTTTTTACAAGAGTTTCTTTGAATGTATTGCTTAAACTTTATGAAGTAGTCTAGGTTTGACTTTGTTCACATCAAGCAACTGCATATTGAGAAGAATGTGCTGAAGAATCAATTACATTGGGAAAGATTATCGTTCAAAATGTTCATGAAAAACCACTTCTGTGGCTGCACACTGTTCCCTCACCTACCCTGCATCCCATTTATGGTCCTAGAGAGGGGCTGAAATTTTTAGACACTTTGGACTTTCTTAATGGAAAGTCTGCTTATTATTTTCAGCTGTGCTGACTTGTAATGGAGAGAATGAATAAGGAATAGGAAGAAGAGCTGTTATAGAGTATAGAGAAAAGAAATCTGTATTCAGGACAGAACATTAATCTGAGTAAGTGTCCAAGACAAGAAGCTCCATAATTCTCAAGGATCAAGAGATAGAATAAAATAGAATGAAAATAGAATAGAATTCTTTATTGGTCAAGTGTGACTGGACACACAAGGAATTTGTCTTTGGTGCAGATGCTGTCAGTGTACAGAAAGAAAAATAAAATTGGAATACATTCATCAAGAATCATAAGATATAACACTTAGTGATAGTCATGGGTTACTAATAAGCAATCAAATTATACTAGGAAACAAATATAAAATTTAAAGATACAAGCAACATGGTTATAGTCATAAGTGGAAAGTACTAGGAAGAGAAGAATAATAGCAATACAGTCTTAGTAGATAAGTTGACAATGTTGTGGGGATTACTGTATTTTTCGAAGTATAAGACGCACTGGAGTATAAGACGCACCAAGGTTTTGAAGAGGCAAATTTTAAAAAAAGTAGGTAGGTAGATAGAGGGAGAGAGAGGGAGAGAAAGAGAGAGAAATACAGTAGGTAGGTAGGGGGAGAGAGAGTAAGTAGGTAGGTAGGTGGATATATATATATATGTGTGTGTGTCTGTGTGTATAGAGGAATAGAGAGAAAGAAAGAGTTAGAGAGAAATACAGTAGATAGGGAGGGAGGGAGAGAGAGTAGGTAGGTACCTAGGTAGATAGAGGGGGGGGGAGAGAGAAATACAGTAGATAGGTAAGGAAAGAGAGAGAGTAGGTAGGTAGAGGGAGAGAGAGAGAGAAATACAGTAGGTAAGTAGGGAGAGAAAGAGCGTAGGTAGGCAGGTAGATGTTTCCAGGTGTATTTATCCATGTGCTGGAGAAGGAAATCGCTGACAATCTGCAGAACCTAAGACTTTGTTTCTGCTGGCACAGCACTTGAGCAATGTAATTCTTATCAATCAGTTAAAGAGCTTTCCAAAAGGGGGAAAAACAGTTTTTGCACTGCAAACCTCTCAAAAACGGCCCATTTTTTGCAAAAATGGGCCCGTTTTTTTAAACAAAGGCACGAATAGCCTTGGAGGGGCTTGCAGAGTGCTTGCAGGGGCTTGCAGAGTGCTT